TAAATGCCTTCAAGTTTATTAAATCGAATTTTCAGATTTAATATCAAAGTGAAACTATGAAAAATTTTGTAAAAAAAGAATCGATCATTTATAAAAGAAGACAACCGACCAATTTGAAACGCCAGCTTACAAAAACGCGATTCGATATAGTTAAAACATATCATCTGTAAAAATTTGTGGCGATTCACGCTGTGGAGTATGTTCCAGAGACAATTATAATTATTTAGAAATCGGCAGGACGAAATATTTCAAAAATGGTAAGAAATTTACAGTAAACGCAAATATGACTTGTAAATAAGAAAATTTACTCTATTGTATAACATGTGTCAACTGTAAATTTAATTACACAGGTCAAACAGGACATAGTGTGTGCAAACGGGTCAGGATCCAGAAACAGCAAATACGGCAACCCAAGTACAGACGAATTCCGTTGAGCAAACATTTAGACATTTGTGCGGGAGGAAAATTCAAAATTTTCCCGTTCTTCAAACGTACGGAACCAACAGAAGAATACCGTAAAGAACTAGGAAGAAAGTTTATAAAAGTTTTTGACGCCAAGCTTAATGCTTAATAGTTACATGAACAATAACGTTACGTCATAAAACTATGTGTTCCCCATAACGACGTTCTTAGTATTGAAAAGTCCTAAGATATATGAAAGCGCTAGACAATGCTGCTTTTAAAACTCTTTTTGTGTATCTAATTTCTAATATATATATATATATAAATCCGGATATGGTGTACAAAGTTTTGCACCTCATGTTTGCGGTATACCATCTTTTCCGCAAGTTTATTGTTTTCTATTTGGTATTAAATTAATAATAAAGATCCATTTTGTACTGGTGATCCGTTTATTTGGCAATCGCCAATGGCAGTCAGCAGGATATAAGATCATCCGTTGTTCGACCTGTTAGTCAAAAGCGTTTTGTTTAAAAATTCTTTTTCACATTTTTGGTCTTTTGGAAAACATTGTTTGTGCTGCATTTAGACCCCTCTAACAAGAAATTTGTTTTGCATGCACACGTATAAAAATTGCGGTTTTTATCCAACGCAATCATAGGTTTGAACGTTGTTTTCAATTTAGAATTATTTATATATATATATATATATATACAAGACTAGAAATAGTGAAAAAGTATATGTTAACAAAACGCATTTGACTAACAGGTCGAACAACGGATGTTCTTAAAAACTGCTGACTGCCATTGGCGATTGCCAAATAAATTGATAACCAGTACAAAATGGATCTTAATATTAATTTAATACCAAACAGAAAACAATAAACTTGTGGAAAAGATGGTATACCACAAACATGCGGTGCAAAACTTTGTACACCATATCCGGATTCCGACACTTAATGTCTCTTCAGTGATGTTAGGGATCGAAACGGTATTTGGAAGGACATATGATTTACCTCAATTTAGGATAGACTCTTGAATTTTAAAGAGTCGAAATAGGATGAACGGATTATATAAACCCGAATGAAAATATAATACAAGCCCAAACTGAAAAAATTAAACCAGTCTAAATTGAAAACAACGTTCAAACCTATGATTGCATTGGATAAAAACCGCAATTTTTATACGTGTGCATGTAAAACAAATGTCTTGGTAGAGGAGTCTAAATACAGCACAAACAACATTTTCCAAAAGACAAAATTGTGAAAAAGTATATTTTAACAAAACGCATTTGACTAACAGGTCGAACAACGGATGTTCTTAAACCCTGCTGACTGCCATTCGCGATTGCCAAATAAATTGATCACCAGTACAAAATGGATCTTAATATTAATTTAATACCAAACAGAAAACAATAAACTTGTGGAATATGTGTTCTGAAATTCTGCAGGAGCTGATGGCTATGATACACCATATGTCACTTATGCATCAATCCTATCAAAGGAGATCTCACATGAATTGCAGAATGACAAATTCATCATCAATGAATTATATATTGTCACCAGTGAATGGGGTATGGCATTGGCAGTCACTGATCAGCTTGACAAAGAAATACTGTTCTCACCATGTACTTCTTTTCAAAGACGAAAGCGTCAAAATAAAGATAATACAGAAGGAACTGATGTTGATAAAGATGGTCAACGAAATAGCACAACTGGCGCAATACCAAAGTCAAGAACTGAAAAACTTAGTACTACTGTACAGGATGGAAATTTGGAAGATTGTGTGATTTGCATGGATACTCCTGATGACCCCAGGAGACTTCAATGTGGTCATGTATATTGCCATAATTGCATCAGCCAGCATTTTAAAATAAATAATCCTGTCTGTCCGACATGTGGTTCCATACAAGGTGTTGTAACTGGTAACCAACCACCTGGCACCATGACAATATTTAGAAGATTTAGCTCATTAGCTGGTTATCCTGAATGTGGACGAATTGAAATTGAATATATAATTGAATCGGGAAGACAAGGGGTATGTTAACTAGAATCTTAATTTTTTTTGCAAAGTTGGAATTTTTTGCAAACCAGTTAAACATAGATTTTTGCATTGATTGCAATGAAATACTGTAATTTCCAAGTAAAGTAAAAACCGATAAATGAACTCGTCTAATGTCGTGCAGCAATATTGGTTTTGACGTTGCATCAAAATGAATCAAGAATGCATAGTAAAAGACATAGATCCTTGCAATTGGTACTGTATTTTCATTAATATTATTAAAGGAACAACTAATCAAAGACATAAGATATTGATAATATTAAGAAAGAGAGGCGAAAGAACCAAGGGGAATTCATACGCATAAGTCGAAAACAAACTGATAATGCCATAGCACAAACAGAAAAAGACAAATAGAACACAAAACACAACTAGATATACTAAAGACTGAGCAACACGAACCTAACCAAAACCATAAGGGTAGGCAGATATTGTTCAACTCGCAACACCCAACATAAATTACCGATAATTAACGCATATGTTAAACCCACTGTGAATTAATTTGCTATTTTGTCACCTGTTGAATATTATTCTATATTTTAATTCTTGGATTAGTTATCTTTTTTAATTCCATCCGATCCTTTTGCTTTGTAGCAAACATTAATTATGCTTCCTTGTATTATGTTTTATTAAGCTATATTTATAAATCTGGCTTATATCATTTGTGATCGACCCATGTTAGATCTATCACTCTGGATTTTAAGATGGTGCAAAATTATGAATTTAATTGATAATTTCTTTTATGACTTGCAGCTAGTTTAAACACAGCTTTAACCACCCACTGCCAACTCTTGACATTTTATTGCAGTAAAGCTAAGAAAAAAGAGGTTGAACTGCTATTTAATTTTCACTACACTTGCATATTTGATATTGTTCCTATGTAAATCAATATTTATAAAATGAATGGCACTATTTATGAATTGATGTGAATCCGTAAGATATCAAAGTTAAGCAGTTGATAAGAATTATGCAAGTATTTCACCAGTATCTCATGCTTGTGTAAGTTATTGAATAACATTTGGTGCAAGCTATGTATTGATATCAAAGTGGATTTTCATACTTTTTTCAAAAACTATTATTCTAATTTTTTCCTAAAAGAAAAACATTACGATCAACATAAACTAATTACTGAAGAGTTACCTAACTAAGGACAGGCACTTCATTAGTGAATCCTGGTTTGACGAACTTTAAAAATTCATTTCAATTGTTGAAAAATACAAATATCTTGATATGATGACACCAACACATGATACTTTTTACATGCCTATGAATTCTTTATAGCCAGAACATAAAGAGGAAGGACGTAGGTTTGAAGGTATAAGAAGAGTAGGATATCTACCAGATAATAGGAAAGGACAATTAGTGGCAAAGATGTTAAGAGTAGCATTTGACAGGAAGTTGGTATTCACCATTGGTGATTCTCGTACAACTGGAAAACAAGGAGTTGTAACATGGAATGATATCCACCATAAAACAAACCCAAAACCATATGAACAGTATGTACAAAAGATTTTTGTCTTGTCAAAAATTAGTCATATGCATGCTTCTTTTAGCCATGCCATCAGAAACAAGTATATTTACTTGTCAGTCTCATATGATTTCTTATACCTAGATCATTTGTTTACAATATTACTGGTGAAAAGGGAGCTTCATATCTGTTCATGTCTTATAATCTTTAAGATGTGGTATGGGTCTGACATAGATGTAGACTCTATTAGGGTTAAGTTTTGGGATGGAAATAAATATTGATAAATTTCTCTAACACTCTCCAATTGAAATTCCCCACTTTGTAGAAAAATCATTATAAGTGAAGAGATTTACTTTTCATGTTTAAAATTTATATTTTCAAAACAGCTGCAATTCACCTTTGAAATATGTTAGTATTTAGCATACTCCTGATGATGATGAAGTTCCATTCAAATTTGGTTACTTTGACATTTAATATGCAGGATTGATTCCTTCTTAATGTCCAAACCAAAGTATCGCTTATAAAAGTAAAGCTTATAAGGGGATAATCCTTTTTTTAAAACACTACACAAATTTGTTTTAAAGCCATATGAACTTAAACACATGGCTTCTTTTACAGTGACAATGAATGAAGAACACATTATGCTCCCACTCTAGGAGTGGGGACTTTATTGCATTTACCTTTTTTCCTCAGTTCATCATTTAGTGTGCCAGTCCATACATTAAACTAATAGTTCTGTGAACCTTTTTTTTTTTATGATACTCCAGAAAAAAATGTGAAAAACCTTCTTTTATGATACTCAAAAAAAGAATGAATGCATGAATTTGTGCAAGGAATATGCTCAGTAGGACACTGTCTGCATTCTAGTTATTATTCATTTTCATTCTACAGCTTTAAAAATTGTCTCCTCCATTGTATATCTTAATAATTTACCAGTATGAATAATTTAATTTGTGTTATATAAGTATTCATAGAAAGTCTAAATTTTTTGTATGTAATGTCAAATTTTAACTAAGGTTGCTTTGAGATTTGACTTTAACTTAAAATTTTTCAATAGTTTTATCGTATTTTATCAGATTTGGATACCCAGATGACACCTACTTGGATAGAGTTATTGATGAGCTTTCTGCTAAAGGTGTCACAGAAAAAGATATAGGACCAAACACGGCCATTTACTAGGAAGGATTTCCTTAAAACATTGAAAGGTATTTGAAGAAATTTATTGGACATCTATATCTCAGTAAGTTAGATTACCTGCTTGTTATGGAAACAATAAAAGCTTTTTTATGAATGAGGCCAAGGTAAGCATAAATAAAACAGACTGAAAAAGAAGTGTAATCTGTCTTAATTCATACAATCTTACAAAAATAGAGATTGGGTGCATCCCCCTTGTTATAGATTGTGTCACCTATCAAATGATTCTGAACTCATATTCAGTAGTAACTAATTAAACTGAAGTTATAAAACATGTAAGACATATAATGCAGAGAAATCTGTTGTAAACTAAGATTCTTAGGAAGAACAAGATAATGACAACCAGAATGTTTTGCTACAAAGGATCGTGGTTTTCAAAATTTGGCCTTTTTTGGTATAAGCTTGCAAGAGCTGGACATATGGTGGCTTTATGTATTCATGTAATACTACTTTTTGGGCTTTTTAGAAGAATTTGAAATTGGACCAATGCAATCGTCTTTAATAATGAGGAGACCTGTTTTTATCTCTCCCTTATCTGTATTCTAGTTGAAATTAATCAATATGGCTCTCTATCCTCATGACAGTATGCAAACCTCGTGGGGCACTTCAATACTTAATTGATAGGATGGGCCGCTGGGGTTATGTTATCCCACCCTTTTCCTATAATTTTGATTTTGAAAATGTTTTTCCCCATATTGGTTGGGTTTTTTTGTGATGCATTGGAAAAATGGATTACCAAAGTGTCAAATGAGTAATAATAACACCGCTGGGAACACCATGAAAGATGATAGATGAAGAAAAATTAACAAACAAAATAAGAAAATAAAAAGTACATATATTAATTCCATCAAAAACCAAGGGTGAATTTGGGGATCCAGGAAGCTTTTTGCCATGTAGGAAACTAACACTCCATAGCGATTAATCAGATGGTGGTGACGACTGTAGAATTTTGTTTTCATATAACAAGTAATGGGAACTTTATTGACCTAATCAAATATTTCTGATAGTTTTCTCCACCTATTCACATATTTTCAAGCTGGAAAATGTGACCTATCTCAGCGGCACATCCTATCACCTTGTATATAGGAAGTGGTCACCCCGAGATGCAAACTGTAATTAGTTTTCATACTTAATGATTATTCATTTTGGGTTTCTATGGGAAAATTTGGAAAAACTTAATATCATATGTCATTTCAATCATAACCATCATTTACAATTTATGCCTTCTACTCTACAATCTCAAACTATAAGAAACGCAGCCTTTAAAAAAATGACATTATGAAAAAGTTTTAACAAAAATACTGAGCTCCAAGGTAAATTCAAAAAAGGAGAAGTTCATAAAAACTGACAAAATCTAACGCTAAATTTTATCAACCAACGGAAGGAATTGGAGACAACTGTCATATTTCTGATTTTGTACAGTCATTTCCGAGGAAAATGGTGGGTTTAACCTGTTTTAATACATGTAACTAGGTAAACCTCTCACTTGTATGAAATTTTTATAGTTCAGTTATATTGACAAACTCTGCCTATGATCGCTATCAAAAATATCACATAAAATACAGTCGGGACTATTAGACAAATTTAGATAAGATTATAAAAACCATATTATTTTGTTTATTTGAAAAGACAATATTTCCCTTTAAAAAAAAGAAGCATTAATTCAATTCAATTATGGAACCGCAATAATGAGGTTGTATTTTAGCATTTATGAATTAAAAAACAAGGAATGAAAGAAACATATTTCTTTTTATTCATGTAACTCTGTTAGTAACAAAGCTATTCTCTAAGTGTTTTTAGAGTTGCATTCAATAAACCATCAGCATTTACACTAATACTTTTAAATCCTTTATTAGTTACATTACAGTAATCACTTATTATACACCCTTTTACAGGACATATTATGGTATACCGTTGTCTGTCCTTCCGTCCGTCTGTCTTCAACATGTCAGACAATAACTGAAAAATGCTTTAACCAATTTTCATGAAACTTTGAGAAATTGTTTATATATATTGACGTCCCTTTTAATTTCATAAGATTAGATTTTACGTTTCTGAGTTATGGGATTTTATTCATATAAAAGGGGGGATTTTCCAGTTTTCAGACAATAACTCAAAAATACTTTGAGCAGTTTTCATGACACTTTGGTGACTTGTTTATATCTATTGAAGGAAGCTCCCTTTAATTTGTTTTTAAATTTCTGATATGACATTGAGGAATTATGGAACTATATTCGTTGAAAAAGTGACAGACATATCATGCACTCATGGCACAGCTCTTTATTTTTCAGCTGAAATGACAATAAATGAATTGTTTAAAATAAATTTCTGCAAAATGTTAGTTTTATTTGCAGTAAGATGAATTCATGAAAGTGTCATTCTCATTGAGAAATAAACTTGAATAAGCCGATGTCTTGCTAAATTGTATTTTAAAAATATATGTACTTCCATGTTTTTTATTTTCCAATTTTAATGTCAGAATTGTAAACAACAGAACTGTTTTATAATAATATCAAAGAGTATATAGATACTAAAATTGGATAAAGTATAAAGTAAGGCTATTATACCTAGGTTGTCAATTGACAAAGACACTCATTTGCATATTACTCCTTGTTTTCTGATGACTGTACTCATTTAAATACTGGATTTTACAACTGGTTAACAACTAAGGATGTTTGGTTTAATCCTAGCTAACGCTTCATCATACCCTAAATATTGCAATGATCCCAGTTCGTGGTTTTTGTGTGATTTATTGGCGTCACATTTCGTACAGGAATGTCTTACGGACATTTAATAGACATACAGGATCTATGATAGAGTCAAAGTACTTGTGATCTGAGAAAATGAAACACTGTAAAGTTCAACCAGTGCTCCCCGAAGTGTTTATAGAAAGCATCATTAGGTTTTGAAGGTATGGGAATTTGATAATGGGGAAACTAAAACCAAACCATAATTGAACTGAAGTTTATCAAATTTTACATGCATGTAAGATTTTCTTTACAAACACATATATATTATTTTGTAGATTAGGCAGACAGTTGTAGAAAAGGCTCAAGAAATGAAAGTTACACTACAACTTTGGAAAGAGATAAGAATCCTGGACAAAAATTTATTTAATTTTTAGTTAGAGATTATACAGTAGATTACTTTTCAATCAATCATAACTTTTATATATACAAGAAAGGCAGGTAATATGTATTGAATAAAACATATATCACTAATTTATTGGATACACAGTGTCAGTACTGTTTTTAAAATAAATAGTGCAAAAACAGCCACTTGAGATGCCTTCACATGTGTGTGTTTTATATGTAAATGGATTAACCTGTAAGATTTGTAAATTTAACTGTATAACCAAGAAAGCTAACATGTCATTTGTTATATTTGTTATTATCTATTCTAAATTGTTTTGGGTCAGTTTTTGTTTGAAGAGTTTTTGCTGTGTATAGCTTAGAAATAACAATGCTTATGCATATATTGATATATATTTGCTTATCTACCAAATTCAATTTAAACTTTAAAAAAGATTAGACTACAGTTATGAAATGTGGTTTGTAAAGTCATTGTACGCAAGCAAAAGCTAAAATTATCTATGGGTTTTATAACTGTAAACTGCATTTCAATGAATTGTATTTCATAATTTCAACAATTTTTAGAACCATAACTTCAACAATGAGTAAAGCCCATAGTCAGCTATAAAAGGCCCCTAAATGACAATTGTAAAATAATTCAAACAATAAAACTGACCGCCTAATTTATGTACAAAATAATGAACGAAAAAAAAAATACCGGTATGTAACACAGCAACAAACGACAACCACTGAATTACAGGGTCCTGACTTGGGACATGCACATACGAAATGTGGCGAGGTTAAACATGTTAGCAGGCGCCCAACTCTCCCCCTAACCTGGGACAGTGGTGTGACAGTACAACATAAGAACAAACTATAAAAATCAGTTGAAAAAGGCTCAACTCATCAGATGGATACAAATAGAAATACATCTAACAAAAACACAGAGTGGACGTGGCTAGGTACTTGTATATCCCAACAACAAAAAGACACTAAGTACAGATCTGAGAGTACTCGCAGTTACTGACAGCTAGTTCAAAGCTAATAACAACTGATAAAAAAAATATCATGCATCTAAGACTAATATATGTAGATTATAGATATGTATTGGGTTTATATAAAATGTTTATGCTTTTTCATGCTTGAATATCTGTATAATTGATTTTTTACTAATGTAGTCTTTTAATTTTTAATTAATGAAAATATTTTGATTTATTCTGTAGCCATCAATGATCACTTATTATAACCAGACATCTGTTTCAATAATCATGTAAGAACATAATTAAACTTTTGCATACAAGATATCTTGAACTGTTATTCTCTTTCTATTACTAATTTTTTTAAGAAATATATATATTTATTGCTTTTTAATAGATTTTTTGGCCATGGTTTTATCCCCTTTTTGCTCTAAGATTTTAAACTTGTGATACTTACTAGCTTAAATTGACCCCTGCTACGGTAAAATAACCAAATAAAAAATCAGAGCTCCAGTTACCCTCTTGTCATATTTGTCTCTAATACAACGTACAGTTACGCAGAATCTTAACGAAGGGATGCTAATACAGTAGAGGCACAGGCTCTTTATATAAAACCTTATACTTTAGAAAAAAGTAAAATAACAAAAATACCGAGCTGCAAGGGAAATTCAATATGGAGAGTCCCTTATAAAATGGCAAAATCAAAAGTTCAAACAATTCTCACGAATGGAAAACAACTTTCATATTTCTGACTTGGTACAGGCATTTCTTTATATAGGAAATGGTGAATTTAATCTGGTTTTATAGCTAGCTAAACCTCTCACTTGTATGTTAGAATGAAGAAGACCAGGATACTTCATATCTTGTTATCACCTGGCACATGTCAGTAGCCCACGACCTTATTTTGAGTATATGTATGTGTTTGTCTTGCAGGATTAATCTTGACCACAATTGTGTGGTTAATTTTGTATGCTTGATAAGGTCCATGCACACTTTTGTTTATGAAAGGATTCAAATAACTGCATTTCTTAAATTATTGTTGGTCACCCTTTAGAAAAAACTTGTCTTAACACACACTCTTGTAGAGGTTATAAAAAGTAGCATTTTATTTATGGTAATTCTCACTGGTTCTTAACTAACATATTTAATTTTTTCCTGTACAATTATAATGTAAGTAGTTATTGCCTTACCTTCTATGTAAGGTGCAGTATTAAAAACAAGTGTTTACTGCTGAAATGTTGACTTAAAGTATTAATTAACCACAGAACATGAATTAAACACCACAACAGGGCAGGTTAACATGTTTTATCACATATTTTGTACTAAAATGTACGTCTTTGCATGTCCAATAATAGCCAGAAGTCCGAGTCGGTTATTTGTCCTCGGGGGCCAATATCCACATTTGCCCTCAAATACCCATATGGAACACCCAATTTTAACTTCCAGTAAACATGTCAATCAAAAACATAAACAAGAGGGCATCTGGAGATGATTCAGAAATAATGTTACCTCACTGTGATAAATATTTTTTAAATGTTTCTTCAAATGTTATTTAAATTTGTGCTAATATCAAACTTAACTTTTATATATGCTTTCCTTTTCTCAACCTTGAAAATATGTGACAAATAGATCATTACAAGCAAGGCATTTTCCATATTGTCTCTGTTATCAGCCCTAGGGCTATGTCCTCTGGCTTGATATGGGAGACTGAGGCTGATGCCAGAGCCTGATTGTACTGATCTTTATGCAGATGGAAGCTATAGTGATGGGGAAGAGACCTATTAATAAAAGGGTCAAATGGTCGATGGTGAAGGTGACTGATATTAAAAATTTTAGAGGAAACAAATGAAAAAAATGGTTTCCTGCTGGTAACAAGGGTTTCCTTTACTTGATTATTTTGAAGTTATACAGTTGGACGATTTTTGAAAGCAAGATAGGCATATTGATTTTTAGGTCAAAGGTCAAGCTCACTGTTTTTTTTAGTTTTCATGGTATGATTAGAATAAAACTTTCACAAATTGAAGAAGCAAGAAAGGAAAAGCAGCCTTTTGGGGTTAAAGCTGTAAATGTCAAGGTCACTGAAATTTTACTAAAAAGAACAATTCTTCCAATATATGATTTAAAGATAGCAGATTGAGTTTTCCCTGCTTGTGTTATTCATTAATTAATTAAGATGGTAGATTTGTAATGCATGTTTGGTATTGATAAGTATTGACATTTTGCTTATTGTAATCTTATGTTGTATAAACTGCTTTAGTGTGACGTGTGATATATATGTTTTTTTTATCAATAAATATTAACCAGTTGTTCAGAGAACACAGTTATCGTCCTTTGCTTTGATTTTCGTTGTCTACAAATATAGTCATATAGTCCCCACTGTGAACAGTGTATTAGTTGCAATTTTTTTCATACCCCTTTCCAAATTTATTTCTTAATGTTATATACCTCAAATGGCAAGTATGGGGGTGAAATTACACTGTTAAAAAATTTGGGTCTTGAATTTTAAAGTAAAGTAGTGATTTGGTTCAGCTGAAAAAAGTTAAAAACTAGTGTGTCTGAAGCTTTCAAAAGACTTCAAGATCCCCTTAACATAAAATTGACCATATTTTGAATTAGAGCTGATGAAGTTTTCGATTATTTTAATATAATTTGTCCCAAAAGTAGAACACCACACTGTAAAAATATTATTGAGAAAGCGCAGGTGGATTTTTTTTTTTATTTTCATTTTTTGTCTAAAAGAAATGCACTTCGAAATAACTGTGTTCTCGGGCTAGTTTAAAAATTGTTGATGGGATTATTGGTGATTTGAAAAAAATAGAAATCTAGATCTTTTAATGAATGGGATTACTATAGTAACTACTAAACTTACTTCATTTACCAAATTGATTTCGATTAACATATATGTATTTGAATATTAAAGAATACCATTTAGATTTTAAGAATTACAATATGCATTTGAATGAGTTTTGTCTTTTTTGAAATAGTATAAAGATGCATAAATATAAACCTTAAAAGGCATGATTGCTGTTATAGAACTTATAAATTATAGTTATGATTTTGAAAAGTTGGCTAGTTTATATATATATAATACATATATAATTTGAATAAACTTCAATGGTGATGTGTTTATCTCTTTAATTGGAAGTCTTAAAAACTGTATCATTATAGTACTTCAATCCAAAAGCTGAATGAAGATTGTATCCCCAATGCTGCAATTTAGAGACCCACCAGAAAAATTAATCCAACCCAGTATTAGCTGTTACCATTACATTCTCATCACCAATTATTCTTAGATATAATATAATTTTGAATAGAATAGTGCAGCGAAGTTATAGTATATAAATTTTATATTTGTATTAATGTTAACATCAGCACATAAAAATTAACATTGTTTTTGTTAGACTTTCGTGTTGCTTTGTTTTTTCAATAAACAATTACAGTATATATTCAGTATATATATATATACATTCTATCAATTGTGGTTTTGGGATAATACATACATAAATTTAAGGGGTTGCTTGTTTGATTGTAACGGTTCCTTTAAATCTCATTGAATGTATGAAAAACATTGAGTTTTATTTTAAAAACTTGATAATATCTCACCATTTTCACCAGAAACACTAGTACTTGACATTGAAAGATTGAAAACTGAAAAAATCAAATGTCCAAGATAATATTACAAAGTCGGAGATATATTTGAACACTCCAATCATCTAAAAATTCTGTTGATTTAAATGGATAAAAGAAGATGATGATATGACTCAACCCCGTCGATAGTTTGCCACCTCTCTAGCCTTTGTTAGCATTGTGTGTTTTTTTGTTTATATTGGTTAATTTATATGTTTCGGAATTAAGTGGTGTCCATTTGTCTGAACTAGTATACATGATTGTTTAGGGACCAGCTGAATCCCGCCTCCTGGTGCTGGATTTGTTCGCTACGTTAAACCCCATTGCTGGCCTTAGGCTGTGTTCTGCTCTTTGGTCGGGTTGTTGGCTCTTTGACACATCCCCCGTTTCCATTCTCAATTCTATTTGTTTATATTTTGGCCTCGAAAATGACCACTCATATCAGCTCCTTTCCTCCACGAAGAATCTGCATGACTTAATCTTAGAATGTGACAGGGTTTGTTTATAATGATCAATCTCCATTATGGGATGAGGGTGTTTAGTACAACATAACAATTTCACGTTCTGTCGTTTGAAAGAATGATACTAAGCCAAAATAAAAAAAAAAACAGGTAACAAAACTTTGTGTAAGAATACTCGAGTTTGAAGTCCGTTTTCAACTAATAAGCATACAATATTTCCCGGACTTAGTCCGTTCAAGACAAGTTGCACAGTACTGGACGCAATCAAAATGCAATCTTCATACACCAATAACACAAGAAATCAAAATAGAAGATTGTATTTGAAAAACACGAACGTATTTGTAGAATATTTACCCTTAACCGTAGAGCCTGGTATAAGAGCACAATAATTTCGTGCACCCATAAAAGGATCGGCCACAAGTAAATTAATACAACTTAGAATTGTCACTTTTATTCTTACAATACACTAGTTAAAATGTCCATTCAGTTATTCGAGTTGTCCGCAATACGTCATTGTCACGTATAGAATGATATAATGTCAGAAAAGAGGATCAAATGTATGCATGTGATAAGTTATTTGTACAATGATACACGAGAAGGATATTAGCCATGGTATCATATTCATCCCAAAAGTTGTATATAGAAGAAAAAAGTCATATATGGTGTTGAAAGGTATTCTGTAAGTATTAGAGTTTCTGAACCTTTTGTCTTTTCTTTTGTTACAGGAAACTTGATGAGGAGTGCCTGCAAATGTTTTAATTCGAATATGATTGTTAGAATATCTCTCTTACAGTCTGTTCGAACATTTTAAAATTTAGAACAGGCAACATTTTCATATAGCTTGATATATATTTTCGTGTCCTGACTTATTTGTTAAGCAAAAAACTAACGAAACGATTGTATAATAAAATTGATAAAATTGCGATTGGAAATGGGGAATGTGTCAAAGAGACAACAACCCGACCATAGAGCAGACAACAGCCGAAGGCCACCAATGGGTCTTCAATGCTGCGGAGGTGTCCTTTAGCTGGCCCCTAAACAAATATGTATACTAGTTCAGTGATAATGGACGTCATACTAAACTCATAATTATACACAGGAAACTAAAATTAAAAATGATACAAGACTAACAAAGGCCAGAGGCTCCTGACTTGGGACAGGCGCAAAAAATGCGGCGGGGTTAAACATGTTTTTTGAGATCTCAACCCTCCCCCTATACCTCTAGCCAATGTAGAAAAAACAAACGCACAACAGTACGCACAGTAAAACTCAGTATAAGAGAAGTCCGAGTCCGATGTCAGAATAGGAAACAAAAGAAAATAAACAAAATGATAATAATACATAAATAACAACAGACTACTAGCAGTTACTGACATGCCAGCTCCAGACCTCAATTAAACTGATTGAAAGATTATGTCTTCATCATATGAATATCAGGCACAATCCCTCCTGTTAGGGGTTTAGTATTATACCGTCATAAAATATATGAGAAGAACATAACCCGTGTCATGCCAACAACTGGTTTTAGAATAAATGTGTTTAATTCCGATGCAAAGACCCTATAAGTGAATCAATATTAAAGCCAAAATATGCACACTTTAATGACCTGACAATACAACTGCATCGTTATTTTCAAGAAACGTGTCTTCGAACAATACAGAATTGGACAGCCAATTGTTTATATGTTTTAGTCGACAATTCGAATGTCAATATATAATTGTCAATTAATTGGAACATAATTTTTTTATATCATTATCAACAAATATGAGGTCTTTGTCAGAGTATTCCGGTCCAAAGCACCTTCTTGAAAAAATAAGTTTAAATGAAATAATAACAAAATTCGTCTGTGAATTTCAAGTCTGTTATCAGCTAGCTCTTTAAAGAATCACTCACTTTGTAAAATATATTGACCGGTCTCTTCCATAACCGACGATAATTTGTCAGTAATTTTGACATAAATCAACTGGGTGTCAGGGTTTTAATTTTAGGAAATATTTCACTTACTGACAGATGACATGCAGATAGAAGACGAACTGAAATCGAACACAGTATATATATAGGATATGGTGTACAAAAACCATTGCACCTTTTGTTTGCGGTATATCATCTTTTCCGCAAGTTTATTGTTTTCTGTTTAGTATTAAATGTATAATTAAGATCCATTTATTACATCGGTGATCCGTTTATTTTAGCAATCGCCAATGGCAGTCAGCAGGGTTTAAGAACATTTGTTGTTCGACCTGTTAGTCAAATGCGTTTTGTTAAAATATACTTTTTCACTTTTTTGGTCTTTTGGAAAATGTTGTTTGTGCTGTATTTAGACCCCTCTAACAAGAAATTTGTTTTGCATGCACACGTATAAAAATTGCGGTTTTTATCCAACGCAATCATAGGTTTGAACGTTGTTTTCAATTTAGACTTGTTTATATATAATTATATATATATATCTATCTAAAACTACCGTGTAAACTGTCTTTGTATATGCAATGTATTAGTTACAAAATGTGTTAGTCAGTTGAACTGTTAAAAAAAATCTGTACGAAAAGACGGTTAAAATAACCGAAAAAATATCATGAAAATAATTCGAGAGAATTATTACGATTTTTTTTATTTCCTATCTTGACTATTTAAATCAGAAGATGTGGTATGAGTGCCAATGTTACAACTCGCCATCCAACTCACACTGTATAAAAAGTTAACAATTAGGGAACGACCATTTAACTCCAATTAGGAAAAGGGGAGGGGGGGTATGGTTTTTCCCCAAAAAAATATTATAATCCCCAATTTTAGAAAAAAAATAAATTGTGGTCAAACGGATGACAAAAAAAAAATATTCGCGAAAAATTTTCTGTTTCAGACAAAACCATAACCCCCTCCCCCCTGAAGTTAAATGATTGCTCCCTATAGGTTAAAGTACGGCCTTCAATATGGTGCCTCAGCTCACACCAAACAGCAAGCTATCACTAGTGTAAAACACTTCAAACAGGAAAACCAAAGGTCTTATCTATATAAATCAAAGTACTGAAGTACTGAACATCGGATGACCGCAAGTTCTGGTGGATGGTCACAGGCACTTGTCTAAAAAAAAAATCATATCTCTATACCTGAAAGTTAGGTTAAGGTACATAGATATATTTTTTCCTGAGACAAGTTCCTGTGTGGATGATTAATAAATGACAGGGGATCCTATTATATTGATGAATTAATTCCATATAACACATTCTACGATTATAGTATTCAAATGGTTAAATTTTGTTTTCTGTCGATCATATATAGTTAGAACAAAGTGTATAGTTTGACTTTGTAAAAAAGAATTTCCCCAAGCCTTTGCATTCATATTTAAAAAGATTGTGGCAATGAAATATACTGAGCACTAAAAAGAAACACATATATTTATTGTTTTAAATATATTATTACTATAAACCAACTCAATATCAAATCATATCAATTAATTCTTTTAATAAAATACCAAACACATGAATACCAATGCATGTTAAAGGAAATTTGAGTGGCTACTTAGAAAACTGAATTATAGAGGAAGTCTTTGGAAACTGGTACAAAAATGTATACATTTTCACTGTAGTTGTCTATCACATACATGCAGTTGATAAAGTTTGCTTAATGCAACAATTTTTTGAAACAGACATATACATAGACTTGACCAACAATCTCCTCAGGTGCAGATCCAGGATTTAAAAAAGGAGGGGGCATGTCAATCCAACGTTTGGAGTGATACTTGTAATTATCATATATAATGTCCATAAAAAGGGGGGCTCTTGCACCTTCTTTACCCGCCTCTCGTCCAGATACCATTTCTCAACTTTTCATACTGGAAGATAACACTAGTGCATTTAGTACAAGATTATTGCTGGTCGTCTGCAATCTTATTTTCTGCACTTAGAAGTGTCACCCTGCCAATTAAACCAAATTTGTCAATTTTCACAGCTCTTTTAATATTTTACCTAAAGTTTAACATCGTGTAAACCATGTATATCTTGAATTATACATGTATCAAATTTCTACATGCCAATTATCAACTAATGTTTGAAGTTTTGTAGTGTCACATGGTGTTTGGAAAGTGCCCTCCTAATAAATATACAGAGCATTTTGGGCTACAGAAATTTTCATAAGAATACTATTGAGAAAATCTTCTTCATGCACATGTAAATTTGGGCTCAAAATATATTTCTCAATTAGAAAAAAATACATTCATGTAACTTTATTTGTTTAAGTAAATGATTAAATCAAAAGCACTATTTTTTTGTCAGTTTAAGACTATATTTACATATGCTCTTAAATTGTAGTGATTAAATG